TGGTTGGTGGCGATCCGGGGTGCGGTGTTTTGGGTCCAGTCAAGTCTAGCCCAGAACGGGTTGTTGCGCCTGTGGGCTGGAGTACCAGCCTGGCCAAACAACGGGCCTTCATTTACGAAACCCCACGGATTATCCCACACGCACGCAGCATTTTGTATGATCTAGTTTGATGGAGACGGTAGTATAGTGTCAGCGAGCGTGCTCTTCTTTTTCCCTCTTTTTTTTTCTTTTTCTTTTCTTCTCGTCCTGTTTTTGATGGAAATGGGGATGGTGAGTATTTGTTTACTTACGCTGGTCCCGTCTGCCCTTCTCCCGAAAGACTTTAGCATGACAAACAATATAGCTGCCAGGTCGAAGCAGTTCACCAATTTATCAGGATTGGGGCCAAAAAAACTCCCGAGGTTAATATTGGCGCCTTGAAGATGGTGCCTATCTCCTCCAACGCCGATACGGGAATCATAGTATATGGCATTGGGCCCTCCTCGCGAGCGGCCAAATGCCCAGAGCCTGTCGACAACCTGTCGAACAACTTGGGGTCTGGCAATGTCCCACGCAACACCGGCAACAAGAGAATACGCGGGATAGGCTCTTTCGATGAGCTCAAAGTGGAATTTTTTCAGTTCCGTAACTCCAGGCACGTCGTTGCTGCCCATCACGAAGAAAAAGTCCATGGGCAGGGTTTGGTTACCGGCGCCGGCAACAGCGGTGCGAGCCGCGTCGTCGTTCACCAGCGTGAATCTGAAATTGCCATCGGCTCTGAACGGGCAGGCGGGAACTCTGGCAGCCGCGTTGACGACTTCAAAGTCCTCGACTACTTTATCGATCTGGGCTCCCGTTGCATCAACGGTGAAGGCCCTGCTGATTATTTCAAACGCGATGCCAGCCACGCCCTACTGAGTGCACTTGAGCCGATACCTATGGGGTGCCGGCGGTGCCGCACCGCCGGTAGGCGCGGGCGGGGCCGGGAAAGCGTACTTGATCGTCACCAAGAGGGGAATCAGGTTCTGGTCATATTTAAAGGCGCAAGGACGTAGGTCGCGCGTCGTGGCACTGGCCCCGTAAATGATATTTTGCCTGACGGTGAGCACACCGGGGAAGTCCCGCCTGATATTGCAGTTGTTTGCATGTCCAACTCTTCTCTTGATACGATGGATAACAAGAAGGATCGTCGCCATTATTCCAAGATGTAATATAATTAAACTAGGTTTCCTACTTAAAGTATATAAGTATAATAAATATATATTACTTACTTAAGGGATTAAGTAAGCTCTATTTAAGACCGTAGCTACGGTTATTATATATTGTTAAAGTATGGCTAGTTACCAGGGTTGTAGGGTCCTGAAGTACAGGGCACTATAGTGGCTGTGTTGGAGTTGTGAGTGTTGTGGCCGTTGTGTGGGTGCTGAGGGCGCTATACCTAGATTGTTTACTTTGCCCCACAGCACCTTCTCGAAACCCCTATACGACTTGGCATACGTAAGACAAGCCCACTAGAAGACTGTAGAATACAGAGCTGTCTACGAAGCCTGTGGGCCTCTAGAACCTTCTAGAGAGCCCACCTTAGGTCTATATAGACCTGTCCTTTCCCTTAGATAGATTTCCTTCCAAGCAAGCAAGCCTCTTGTTATGAGTATAAAAGAAAGCAACAAGCAAGCATTACACTCACCACTCTTTATACTATACTTCTATAATACAACTCCTCTCCGTCTTCTTCAGCACCCACAGTTGGTCCCGAAGACCCTGACTGCAGGGCAGAGTCCCCTACAGCCTACGAGGTAGACTGCTGAGCAGAGTCCTCACAGTCTGAGTGGCAGGCCTGTAGCAGAGTTCTACAGACCTGTAGTCAGTCAGCCTGCTTCCCTCAGTGCCTTGCAGAAGCACTGTTGTATCGGACCGTAGGGCACAGTTCCCTACAGTCTACCCTGCACTTGATCGACCTACCCTGCACTTGGTTCCCGATATACGCTACACGCCTTGCTTCCGCTGCACCTGTCACAACACTGTGCACCCTGTATAGGTGCTGAGTTCAGGCCTATACAGGAACGCAGTTTAACAGTCTTCTAGTGGGCTTGTCTTACGTATGCCAAGACGTATAGGGGTTTCGAGAAGGTGCTGTGGGGCAAAGTAAACAATCTAGGTATAGCGCCCTCAGCACCACACAACAGCCACAACACTCACAACTCCAACACAGCTACTGCAGTGCCCTACACTTCAGGACCCTACAACCTTAGTAACTAGCCATACTTTAACAATATATAAGGAAGGTAAGGTACGGAATACTAAGTAGGGTAAAGGTACTAAGTAATAAGTAAGGTACTAGGTATTTTACTTACCTTACCTTAATTAAGGAGTAAGGCAAGTACTTGAAGTAGGTAGATTTCCGTATCCAAGTTTGACTAGCTATCGTACCATCGTTTATACAGCATAGTGCTATAGATAGTTATCTAACCTCGACTGAGTCAGTCGTCTCGTCACCGGCCTGACCCCCAATACCAAATCGGGGGCCCGACCGACCGATGTCGCTACGTTGGAAGTGTACTAACGTCCGGCACGAGGTGCTCCGTACATAGTCGGGCTTGGCAGGTCGAGGAGCTCCGAAGTCTGGGGCGATTCGGAGCCCCTCCTTTTGGTTTTAAAGTGGGGTCGTAAATTTTCTTTCCTCCTCGAGCTTCCCCCGACTTTTGCCCCGCAGTGCTCATCCGAGAGACCTTTATTGTCTGCGTTAAACCTCGTCACCCTTTCTCAGCCGTCTACACCGTTGTCCTGCCGCAACACTCCAACCTCCGACAAAGCCAATTGATTCAGTCGCAACACCTTCACAATGGCTACTAACGGCACCGACGGCACATCCTACGCCCTCTCAGAGGAGCACAAGGCGGTGCGAACTATCCTTACCCCTCATCCCGCGTCCACCTCCGATCGCTCTATCTCGGCGATTTGACTGACTCATCGCCTACAGATGCTCGAGAAGTCGTTGGTCGATTCTGACCCCGAGGTTGCCGATATCATGGTGGGTGTTTTCCCGTCCCTATGAATTAGGGCAAGTCGGGAGGCTAACTTGAAGGCTAGAAACACGAGATCCAACGCCAGCGGGAGTCTATCATCCTCATTGCCTCCGAAAACGTTACCTCCCGCGCTGTCTTCGATGCTCTTGGCTCGCCCATGTCCAACAAGTACTCGGAGGGCTACCCTGGTGCTCGCTACTATGGCGGAAATCAGCACATCGATCAGATCGAGCTCTTGTGCCAGAGGCGCGCTCTCGAGGCCTTCCATCTTGATCCAGCCAAGTGGGGGGTCAACGTTCAGTGCCTGAGTGGTAGCCCCGCAAACCTTCAGGTTTATCAGGCCATTATGCCTCCCCACGGCAGACTCATGGGCTTGGATCTCCCCCACGGCGGCCATCTCAGCCATGGCTATCAGACTCCTCAGCGGAAGTAAGGGTTTTCTGAACAACAATCGTGAGAGAAGGGCCGGCGTTGTTAACGTTTTCCTAGGATCTCGGCCGTCTCCACCTACTTCGAGACCATGCCGTATCGTGTCGACCTCGACACTGGCATTATTGACTACGACCAGCTTGAGAAGAACGCCCAGCTCTTCCGCCCCAAGATCCTTGTCGCTGGCACTTCGGCCTATTGCCGCCTGATCGACTATGAGCGCATGCGCAAGATTGCCGACTCAGTTGGCGCCTATCTTGTTGTAGATATTGCTCACATTTCTGGTCTTGTTGCCGCTGAGGTCATCCCCACGCCATTCCTTTATGCCGATGTTGTCACCACCACCACCCACAAGTCTCTTCGTGGCCCTCGCGGCGCCATGATCTTCTTCCGCAAGGGAGTCCGCTCCACGGACAAGACGGGCAAGGAGACGCTGTACGACCTGGAGGACAAAATCAACTTCTCCGTTTTCCCTGGCCACCAAGGCGGCCCGCACAACCACACCATCACTGCGCTTGCTGTGGCGCTTAAGCAGGCCGCAACCCCCGAATTCAAGGCCTACCAAGAGAAGGTGGTCGCCAACGCGAAGGCGCTTGAGGTCAAGTTCAAGGAGCTTGGATACAAGCTTGTGTCTGACGGTACCGACTCTCATATGGTGCTCCTTGACCTGCGCCCCCAGGCTCTCGACGGCGCGCGTGTGGAGGCTGTTCTCGAGCAGATCAACATTGCTTGCAACAAGAACAGCATTCCGGGCGACAAGAGCGCTCTCTCGCCATGTGGCCTGCGCATTGGCACCCCCGCCATGACCAGCCGTGGATTTGGGGAAGCCGATTTCGAGAAGGTGGCCCAGTACATCGATGAGAGCATCAAGATTTGCAAGCAGGTCCAGGCAGAACTGCCCAAGGAGGCTAACAAGCTCAAGGATTTCCGATTCAAGGTTGCAGGTGGCGAGGTGCCCCGCATCAATGAGCTCAGGAAGGAGATTGCTTCGTGGTCTCAAACTTTCCCCCTACCCGTCGAGGGCTGGAGGACCGATGCTGGTCTCTGAGAGGGTTGGGATTGAGTGGGGGCCATACAGAGGTCTTGGGCATTTACGGATGCCGTGTCATTAATGGGTTGTGATTCAACAATAGGTGTGTGGGCAATGGGTTGTTTACAAAGCTTCCTGTTGGCCTTTGGTGGGGAAGGGGTCCTGGAAAAAGGGGCATCAAATGGTTCTAGCAATCTCAACGAAAGGCATACATGGAAATTTTACGGGCATCGGAAAAATCACCATATTGCAAGCATTTTATCAGGCGTTGCAATTTGGGTGTTTGGTCTTCAACTTACCAGTTTCGGTACCGGGGAGTTTGGTTTTCGTACTTCTTTAGAAGGGCTGCTTCAACGCAGTTCCGCCTGCAACGTAAATAAATGCTCTACGTGCCTTCCCCGTCCGGGTAGCCGTGCGCTTCTATAATGAACATTGCAGGATTAATACATACCAAATTATATAAAAAATAACAAAAAAAGATGTCACTTGAACTTTCGCTCCTTCGAATGAAGAACTTTCGGTAATAGCACATATAATGCGGCTAATGTGGATGGAACACATGACCTTCAGATAAGACAGTGAAGTTTTGACTTCAGCTTGACGCTCTCCCAGTTGAGCTATACCCGCAATAGATTTATTGAAGTGGAGAAGTAGTATGGCACAGGGTGCTGGGGTGGGTGGACATGGCTCTGGAGGAAACGAGTAGAAATATCTAGCATTCCACTGTAGAAGGGTAGTCAGGGTGTTTTTGCATACCTGACGAGTATATCTACTGTAACTGAATATTAATCGTAGACGAATGATAGACCGGCGGCAGTGTACTACTCCTTGACGAGCGACACAAGCAAGGAGAGGGATAATATATAAATTGAAAGGGAGAGAATAATTAACTATAGTATAGGTAGTAGGTATGTACGTATCTCTTTTAATGACCACAACAATTGACGAAGCGCTCCTCCGGTCATCCATGTAAGCATCGTCTTGCCACAGTAAAGTAAACAAAAGCCACCAGTCAAAGACATCCCTCCATTTATTTCACCTGTGGCGCGTCATATCAGAGGGGACAGCAACGAGAATGAGAATAAGCTGTAGGCCAACAACAACATATACAATAGAACAAGAGCAACGTAAAACGAGCTTAAGCGACTGTAAGCCCTGTTACAGTGGTTGCCTCGAGCCAGGAGAATGAAAATGGAAATAGGAAAAAAGGAATGAGAACCGTAACCTGAAAAATAGAGACGAACTAATGTGGATTGTGCCACGCGCTTGGGTGAGCCCGCGGCCGAAAAGCGTCTGGGATACGCTGGAAATACCGAGAACATAGAAAAATGCTAACATTGCCATCAACCTTCCCAAGCACCCCCTATCTCTGCTCAAGACTTTCTGGGCTCATCATGCCCACGCCGTCATCCTTATCTGTCTGGCTGGCATTCGTCTGGCTTTGCATGCTCTCGACTCTTTCCATGGGAGGGGCAAGATTCAGGTTGCCCAGGCCCGTTCCGTTCATGACGGCCTTGAGCTTATTCTTTGACGGTGTGCCACCAGCTCCGCCCTTCTCGGGCAAGGCGTTGACACCCTTCCCATCCGTTATCTGGGCCAACCCAGACTCCAGCTTCTTCTTCTTTTTGGCCAGAGCAATCTGCTCCTTGGGAGGGCGCTTTTGCGGAGACACGATCTTGCCCGTTGCACCTAGACGAGGTCGAGGGCGCCGTTGCTTGACTGGCAGATCCTCATCCTCAACTAGTGGCTGATCCCCGTTAGCGTGGAGTTTAGCAAGGAAGAAATTCTTGACCAAGCCGATTTGCTCCTGTATGTTCTCCTTGGTCACGGGTTCTGATGGAGGTAATGCTTCAAAGAGATCCGAGGTGGCCACACCAGTGGTCTGCGTCTGCATCTGGTACTGGCTGCGGACGCGTGACTGGAGGAGGTGTAGCGGAACCGACATCATCTCGAGGCCCAGGTCCTTGTCGAGGCCGAGTGCTTTGAAGCCAAAGAAGTCCTCGCCGAGCTCCTCAGCAAAGTCGCCGCCCACGAATTGCTCGCTGTCGTCGTTGAAGGCGCCAGACCCATCTGCGCCGCCGTCGGTGAGAGCCGGTCGGAGAAGATCGGCAAGGTGAGCCCTCATACGCTCGTGGATCTGGCCGAGTTTTGAGCCCAGTCGATCAATGTCATCCCGAGCGTAGGTCTCAAGCGTCTCAATGTCATGTCCGCTCTCGGAAAGGGTATGAAGCAGGACCTCCTCTGGGGTGTATCGAGGCTGGAACCGAGCGCCATTCGCCCGCCAGGTCCCGGTGGCCGGCTTCTTCTCGGCCTCTCGGTACACGTTGAACGACCGAACTACTTTCATGAAGTAGTCGCCCGCAATGTCGGTGATGGCATCAAGAGCTGAGGGTTGGAGCTCCTCAAACCCTGCGTGGTAGAATATCTTTGCAACAGAGCGCTGCATGGCTGACCTGCAGACCTCAGGAGCCATGACGGGCCCCTCGCCGGCAATAAAATGCGGCTCTATATCCGCTTCCAGAAAAGGTTCCGGGTTATATTTAGGGAATTGATTAGTGTACAACTAGAAATTGTTAGTAGCTATTCGCGAGAAGCCTCGCCAAGAAATGCTCACCTGGGTTTGTATTTGCATCTGCTTGATGACGCTGATTTTAGAGCAGAGTTTGCGGGTCTCTTGCATCTGCCGGAGGTTTGCGTCGAATTTCTTGGTGAGTCGACTAGGCGGCGAAATGAATTGCCCAGGGGGGACGAGCCTGAGAATCTCCTCATGCTGGTTGATCACTTGTCCTTCGCTGTCCTCAATCCACTGAAGCTTCGGAGGAATGTCTGGGATCACGGTTTGTAGCTCGTAGTATTCGGGGACTGTTCGGTCAACCTCGTCTTCCATGCCCTCAGCCAGCGTTTCCCCCGCCTTTGCGCCTTCGTTCGGGCCGGCGGCTGAGGCGTCAACCTGGGAAGCGTGTAAGATACCGGTTGCTTCCGCCTCTCTTCGAGCCTTTATGAAACGGCGCATCCCGGCCTTGGTCCTTAGCAGAGCAGGCGCGTCGACGTTGAGCTTGTTACCTCTGAATAGCTGATAGCGTTCCTTGGCTATGAGAGCGCGGCCCTTCTTAGTGACCTGCTTCCAGATCTTGTACGCTTCGTCCTCGTAAACCTGCTCTGCCGCGTCTCCGAGGGCCTGACCCAAGGCCATGCCGTTCAATGACGGCCCGTCGATATCCATGGCGTCAACATTGCTAACACCGGAATGGCCGTTCAACCCACTGGGAGTAATGGAGCCGGCGATCGGAGGCGTTGCGAAGCCATTGCTGCCATCGACCTCTGAACCCTCTCTGTGGGATTTTGCAAGGAGTCCATTTAACTGCAGCAACGGCTTCTGCTCCAGGTTCGGAGTGCCTTCCTTTTGGTCCGATTGCGCTCTTCGGGACTTGTTCGCTCCCTTCACTCCACGTCCACGAGACGACATTATCGGCTCGTCGTCGCTGTCGTCGCCGCCATCATCGTCACCACCGTTTTGCTTCCGTCGCTCCTCCGCTTCCACTTCGGCCCTCGGTCTGATGAAGACGTCGGGAATAAGAGGAATGAGCTTCTCGGCTTCCTTGCGCATGGCATTGGCCAGGCGGCGAAGCGGATGGTTCATTTCCTGGTTATATTTGAGACAGTTGTCCCAAATAAGGTTCAAGTCGACGACAAATTCTGTCTTGGACTTGTACTGAAGCCCTTTCAGTTTCTTGGTCATGGTGCCCAGATCCATGGGTTGCTTGATCACTGCAATGCGGTTAGATCGAGAGCTATAGTGGTGTTAGTCTAGTATCACTTACAGTTATAGTAGTCGGGCGCGTCCCTTTTATTTACCCGATTCAAAAAAGGGGTCGAGTACTCCGTGTGAGCCTTTAGCTCGCTGAGGACCTTCTCCAACGCCTCGTAGAGCTCCTCCTGGCCCACGTTCTCTTCGCTTGCCCATTTACTCCTGTTCTTGCGCACTTCGTTCATGAGGGAGCGCAGCTCAGCATCGGACGCACGGACTTGGTCGCGCTTTAGATCTATCCTCGCGATGAGATGTTTTAGGGTGAGACTTGATGCCCCCAAATTGGCGTTACTGAGCGAACCGTGATTCTGTCCAGGACCTTGACTCGGGTTTTGGTGGCTTGTCTTGTCCATTTCTGCTTGCAGCTGTTTCTCAGACTCCTCGAGCTGCTGCTGTTCCAGCATGGTGGTTCGGTCGTTTTCCAGTGTGTAGAAGAGAGTGTGAAAGCTTTGCTTCGCGGCGCCTTCGGTCGCATTGCGCGCTTCCTCGAGTTCCTTGCGCGCGTCTTCCGATGTCTTCGCATGACCGCGCGAACCATCATCTCTGGCTCTGTCGGTTTGCTTTCCCGGCGACGGGACCGAGTGTACAGGTGAGCTACCGGACTTGGAGGGCGACAAGAGGGTCTTGGCAGCAGCGGCATTGGCGTGCTTTGACTTATAGGGATTCGACGCCTGCGTGTTGTCGCGATCGTCATCGTCTCGACCCTGGTCTTCGTCTTCGTCATCGTCATCATCATCATCATCGCCATAGTCGTCCTCATCGATGACGCGCTTCGCTCTTTTGCGGGGCGGCTCTTGGATGGGCGCGTGGTCGGTCGCGGGAGGGGGGAGGTGGTTGGGGGAATGGGGGGCGCGCTTGAAGGCGTCGATGGCAGCCTCATTATAGCATCCATCGTCGCCGAAAAGTTGCGCGATCCTCCCCTCGGTTCTGCGGAACATGTCGGCAAAATAGGCGCGGCGCTGGTCTTCGTCCAGATCGGATGCCTCAGGCATCAGCGTCAGCGGGTTGTCGGTAGGGGTTTGCGTGCGCGCCAGGCCATCTTCGACGGCATGATGCATCCTCATGCCGCCGGAATGGTTGAGAGCGGATGTCGGCCAGACATGCTGGCCATTTGTGATGGACATTGTCGGTCCGGGTTGACTGTTGGCGACGTCGTTGGCCCGTCGCCATGCGCCAAAAAGGCGCTCGTGTTCAGCCGGCGCCAGGGCAATTCCAAGCGAGAGCGTCACATGGGGAGAAAGAGCGACATCGATAGAGATGGCCGACGGCTTTTCGAGGCGGTCGCGATCGTTGTGACTGCGCTTCGATAGATGCTAGGATGGGTGATTTCGGGGGGAGTTGGACGTGAGGTCGAGTTTAGGAGCAGGCTCGTGCCGTTTTTGGACAAGGGGCCAATTTTGCTGGGCTGAAGAAGACTGGCCCAGAGGTACCTCAACGCGGCGACTCCCACTTGATCGCGATTTTGATTTCGCGGTCGCCAAGTCTCGGACACTGGTCTGTACGCTTGGTAGTAATCTTGAATACGGGGCCTCTGGTTTTAGCTATGTATGGCATGAAGCTTGACCTTTAGCACAGGTTTTGTTGTACTGACGTCGATGTACCCGAAACAGTCTGGTCAACTCAGGAACCGAGGTCACGTGCAACGACTTGCTTTCGTCCTTGTTCAAAAGCTGCCGTTGACGGTGACAGGGAACCTTCTGTAAACGTTCGCGAAGGGTGCCAGGTTAGGATATTCCCAGATACTAGACCCCACTGAATAGAATAAAACTCCTCCTTACTTGAAATATAAAGTCTTGGTGATTGAGTAAGAGTTTAATCC